TATATATATATATATATATATACAGTATATCATTTATATATTATATATAAATATTTTATATATAAACAAACATATTTTCCTTAAATATATACATGCATGTGTGTGTATTTATATATACATAATAAATATACACAGTACACACACATATATTATGTAAACAAAAACTTCTATTGTGGATGCGATTAATTGCGATTAATCGTTTGACAGCACTAGTTAAAAACCTAGTTCCTCTTTGTTATTTATACAATAGCAAAAATTACTTATATAATTTACAAATTTACATAAGCTATTATATATAATGTTTGTTACTGTAGTATAAAATTTAGTATGGGAATACTGAATGCCATTATACAAGAAGTACACTTTTTTTGACACACTTAAGTACATCTTTATGTAGTTTCATAATTACTTCTATTGCCAATGAAATATGGTTAAAGAGTACTGCTGAATATTTAAATTTTAAAAGTGTACTTAAGTGTGTTAAGAAATGGAAGTGTAGTTTAAGTGGCCTTTTATTTCATTATATGATCTGAAAGTCCAGTATTTTATATTTTCCAGTGTTTCATAATATGCTAAGATTGAAGTACACTAACAGTACACATTCAATACAAGTAAGCACACTTCTTATTCACAAGGGTAGTTCGCTCCCTAGTAATCTGTTTGTATTTGTGCAGTACAAAAGCCATTACCCTTTCACACCAACATACAGTAGAACATGAGAAACCTGCAAAGATATTGACAGATAAACCACCAGTGGAAACTGAAATGGTATTGGGACTTTTTGTACTTTCAGAAAACCTTTTGCCATCATTGAGCTGAAAACAGAACTAGACGGGGTTCAAAACAAGATTGAAATTGCCATTGGAGTTATGGAGTAAGCAGTGTATGGAGGGCAGATATATAAGCCTGTCCAATGGTTTAGCAGCACAAATCCCTCTACCATTAATCACAACGCCAATCAGCACAGAGGAAATGAATATCTGGAATGTCCAGAGAATGTTGGACAACTAGTAATTTTTCCAATCCTAAAGGGATAGTTCTCCCAAAAATGAAATTCCCGTCATCCTCATATCATTCCAAACCTGTACGCATTTCTTTCTTCTGTGGAGCACAACCCATTGGCCCTGGGACGAAGACAGGACTTTCATTTTTGGATGAACAATCCTTTTAAATCAGTTGCTTTGAAGTCACATCCTACTGCATCTTCCCAGGTCCATATTGTGCACCTTCGATTTCTTATAAACCATTTTGTTGTTCGTCTTCTAGTCCAACACGCTCTACTGTGTTCTGTGACAGTGCTGAGCTTTGAGACTTTCGAGAAAGCCCCATAAGCCCTGTTAGCACTGGTCTGTTTGCTGGTTGTGTTGGTTTTGTGTCCTGTATACACACACACACACACCGTGACAGACTCGTGTCATTAGATGTGAGTATTTTGGGCATTTTGACTTATCGGCATCTGCCGAAAACCTGTTTTAAAAATGTTTTTCATGAAAAGTTGATATTGTGTATTTCAACTGCCAAATCTAAAATTGCATTAGTCTATGCCACATATATATTAGCATTACACCTGTCCTGGTATAACCCTAAACATCGGAGTATTACTCATGAAGCTTGCATATAAACATGCCGCCATCTGTCCTGCAAAATCCTGTCCAGACAATGAAAGCAATGTGAAGACATTCAGTTTAATGAGTGCACTGAATGTACACTTTTGGGTTGGTGTGAGCGTGCATGTGGGTGCCATGTGCATGTCTATCCATGTGTGCAAAATAAAAAGCAAGCATGCATAAATATATAAACATCTCTCTTAGGCATGAAACTGTGACATGTCAACCTGCTTGAATGACATGCTTTCAGTCTGGGTTACACCCGCCTAACAGCAGCTCAAGATGTGTTTTGGCTATTGTGTCTATTGTTCTTCAGTGGATTGCTTCCAGGTGATGGGCTCAGCTGCATTGAGACCTTTATGTCAATAATAAGAATAAAGGACTGAAAAAAATGGATGCTGCTGCCTGTTTACATCTACTACACAACATAAACAAAGCAATGCATTATTATAACACTTATAATAAATATAATGCACATGAACCTTAGAAGTAAAGAAAGGTAGCCTAGTATGGAAATACGGCATATCTGCATTATCTAAACAGTAGCTTATGCAGATATTCATTTTAATATTTTATTGTCCTCATTTGGATAAATGACTAAATGTAAAATAGCAGTTCTACCTGGATATGCAGTGCCAAATGAGAATGACATTGCGTATCAATATACAGATTTTTTTTATACATTATATTAATGTTAAATACAATGTTTCCTACCTTTTAAGGAACAAATGATGCGCAAACCCCCGCTGTCACTCCGTAGTGGTCAGTGTTAATTACTAGAACATCAGGAGCAGTATTTTTTCTGCTGCCCTCTGTTATTTTCTTAAAGCGTTGATGTACTAATATTGATTCTTGTGCACATTGCGTCTGACAGAGCGACTGCTGTTGCCCTATTGTCTCTCCGTTGGCTGTGGATGTCGATATTGACAGCGCTCTCCCCGCCCACCGCATTATCGACCAATCAGAGAACAGACTGAGGGAGCGCTGCACACGCCCACCCCAAACTCAACAAATCAGCGAACAGAATGAGCCAGCGCTGTACCGGTCTGCTGCACTAACTGACCAATCAGAGAAGAAAGCGGTGGATAATTGAAGTCGGTGCATTCTGTTTCCATACAGATTTCTTTTTGCGTGAGGTGCTGGGAGATATATATATGAATGTTAGTTAAAGATTAGAAACAGTTTTATTTACAAGATTTGGAAGCCACACATTAATTGAAGAGAATGTAAGTGAGGATTTTGGGTTTTGACAGGGATACATATTACATTTGTGGCCAATACAAGTCCTGAATTTGTGGACGATACAATAAAAACAGAGAAAACAACCTGGTTACTAAAATAAAATGAATCATAAAGATAATAATATGAGGCAAATGTGTGCTAAGTGGTGTTTGCCTCCCGGTTACACTGCAAATATGATTTTCTTTGTATTTTTGTCTGGTTTTCTAGTGTAAATATCTAAACATTCTTGAATCAAGACATTTACTTAGTAAGCAAAATGACTTTGTTTTCTGAAAATCATCCAAATTGTATTGGTTTTTGCTTAAAGCAAGAAAAAATATCCGCCAATTGGGTAAGAAAAATAATCTTGATTCAAATTGAAAACAAGATTATTTTTCTCGCCCCATTGGCAGATATTTTTGTCTTGTTTTAAGCAAAAACCAATACAATTTTGATGATTAAGTGTAGCTTGATTTAAAAATGCTTAGATATTTATACTAGAAAACACAAAAATACTAAGATTTTTTTTTTTTGCAGTGCAACTATAACAACTGCATTTTAATAAAATAAAAACAAAATAATTAAAATGAAAATGTAGTGAAATGTTGTATAAAAAGTGTTCCAAAAAGTTTAAATAATGTTTTTGCGAAATATTCATCATTTCATAACTCATCTACAGTTAACTACATTCTGTATTAAATTAAAATCTACCTGTTAAATATAAAGCCCACACTTTTACAAGTTACTGTTTTTTAGAGTTCTTCTCTCTCTCTCAAAAGCTTAATGAGCTATAGTTCCTGTGACAACGTAGCATACAGTTAGTGGCGGTCGCCCCTATTCATGTTAAATCTGAAGATAAAAAAGTAATATGCAAAATTGTAGTCTATAATGCATATGTGTGTATATAATATAACAGAATACTTACTGTATATATACAAGTTACTGTTTTTTAGAGTTCTTCTCTCTCTCTCAAAAGCTTAATGAGATATAGTTCCTGTGACAACGTAGCATACAGTTAGTGGCGGTCGCCCCTATTCATGTTAAATCTGAAGATAAAAAAGTAATATGCAAAATTGTAGTCTATAATGCATATGTGTGTATATAATATAACAGAATACTTACTGTATATAAACAGTATGCCTGTATATCTGCATGTGTCCTTGTGGAGGCCTGCTGTCCTCCTTATGTGAGGGATGTAAAGCAGCTTAAATTACTCTGATTAATCGCTAATGCGCCATTCACTCAATCAACTCCTTCACACTCTGCTGTGGGCTGATATTAAACTGAGTAAAGTGATCTAAGACTCTCTCAGTGACACCAGTGGAAAACATGTGAGGACACCAGAGGCAACGAAAAAGCTTCAGCATCCGAAATTGAATGCAAGTAACTTAGCTATTGCTGCTTTTGTGCAGGGAGGCCATGAAGGAGATTGCTGCTTTATCTGAGAACATTTAATTATGTCCTGCACAGAAAATACGGAAATCCTGACTCTGTGATCAGCAGTGTGTGTGTGTGTGTGTGTGTGCCGAATAGCTCGGATGACGGGATGAGGACTGTCAGCATAGGCAGCTTATGTTGAGCCTCATAATATAGTCCATGCATGTGTGCTTGACTAAACAGATTATGCAGGACTCAGAGCAAAGGGTTGTGAAGCTTGAATGCTTAAAATCGCAGTTCTCATTTATTCGAACAGTATCGCAAAAAAGTTAATAACACAAGGTTAATTGCTTTATGCATATTTTTTTTCTTTCACCAATAAAAATACTGTAGTTCCAACAGAAGACAAAGCATTTGTTATCTTGTTATCGTTTACTGGGAAGCACCTTGATCAGCATTCATGTCAAGCTTTTATATACATAAAAATTATCTTGACCTTGACCATTTGTTTTGTGTGTCACCAAACAGCAGACTGATAGCAGGTCCGGAACAGACTGGATTTAAATATTGGACTGGTCTGGAATTCACAACCCCAGGCAAACTGAATGATACAAACAGTGAAAATTCCACTTTCGCAACACCGCCCTGCCAATCAGATTTGAAGACTGGAACTAACTAACTAAGAGAGAAAACATTGTGCAATGGTTAAATATTTTGCTCTAAAACACCAAACCTGTGTTGCACCTGTTGGGTTATTTACACCAGTTTCAGAAGGCAACCCTTGTTTACATGATTTCACCACTTTGCAAACATGAATACTGGCATAGATTTTCATGTACTGAACTTGGACTGACTTAAGCACATCTTTGCCAGTTCAGACCACATGGATTTTTCTTAAAGGGGTCATATGATGCTATTTTAAAGATCATTATTTTGTGTATTTGGTGTAACAGAATATGTTGACATGCTTTAATGTTCAAAAAACACATTATTTTTCAAATACTGTACATTATTGTAGGTCCTCTATGCCCTGCCTCTCTCAAACACGTCGTTTTCAACAAAGCCCCCTCCTTTGACAAGCGCAGTCTGCTCTGATTGGCCAGCTGACCCAGTGC